CACACACACACACACACACACACACACACACACACACACACACACACACACACAGATTCAGACAGCGTTCGCCCCGGCTCACCAGTGGCTCGCCGGCCTTCTTTCGGATGCCGATCATGCGCACGGCATCGGCCTGCATGAGAGCATTGTTCACCGCTGCATCGTTGCACGCCTCCGCCGGGGGAGGGACTTCATAACATTTTGATGCCACCATGTCGTGAGCCTCTATAAGAGACTGAAAGAACAAAGAAGAAGCAGGAAGTAATAATGCCTAGAAGCAAGCCAAGAAGAATCACATTCTTCCTTTATGAATAAGCCAAAAAAAAAGCTCTTTTCTCGATTCAATTCACTCAGGAATTCTAAAAATGTTAAAGCTTTTTTCTCAGAATAATAGATTCATGAATATTATTGTAATGTAGAGAATAAAATACTTTATGCGAGTAATTAAATGGACTGTAGAGATGTGTACTCCTGAGTAATTTTAATTTGCTTTTAATTATCTAAAGAGGGAAAAATGCAAGAAAAAATTGTATCCATTGGATTAAAAAAGATTATTATTTCAGTCTCATCCTGTTATTTTTGGCTGACTGAGTATCCATCCAGCAGCTTTCATCCAAACTTGATTCTTTTTAAAATAGCTTACAAAAACAAACAAGTTGGGAAACACATGCCCAGTGATGTAATATCTGTTTCTCTTTTCTATCTGGCCAGTATTTCCCTTCCTCCCACCATGTCTGTCCTCCTCAGTAGGTCAGCAGGGTCTTATCTTACATCCAACAGCCCTGAGGGCTCTGATTGGTGCAGAGGCTGCCCTGGGCTCAGGATACCAACTCTTATTGGTCTGCTCGGTGTAAAGCCCCGGGTAGCACCAGAGACAGAGGTCAGCATACTACTGATGCATGAGAACAGATTTTAACAACATCCAATGTGTGCTACTGTTACTAACTGCAGTTGAAACAACACAAATTTTATTAGGCTAAAAAAAAGAGAAGCCATCTCACCTGGAAGTGCGGCTCCTGGAGGATCCTGGACAGTTCGGCGGCGCTGTCATCTTTCACCATGAGGTTCTTGATGTCACCCAGAATCTCCGTCACCAGCTCCACATTATTATCCTGCACCGCCTCCAGCTTCACTTCCTCCTGCTGCTCATGAGCCTGGAGGAGACAGAGCAGCTCAGGGAGGGCAGACGCTCCTCATCACTTTGAACTTTTGTTTGGATGTGTGCAGACTGTAAGAATGTATGGAGCTAAATTGGGGCCATAAAGTTTGTTCAAAAGAAAAGATTTACAGCTGAAAAATTACGAAACTGAAAAAAAATTAAAAGTACAAAATGGTCAAATTCTAGGTTTTTTTTTCTTTTCTTTTCTTTCTTTTCTTTTTCTTTTTTTTTTTTTGTTTCAAACTTCTGGCCCTGCTTTAGTG